CACACACACACACACACAATCACACACACACACAATCACACACACACACAATCACACACACACACACATACGCACACACACCCGCACGCACATATACAGAGAGAGACAGAGAGAGAGAGAGAGAGAGAAAGAGAGAGAGAGAGAAAGAGAGAGAGAGTCAGAGACACTAACGCACCTACACACAGGCGCACACGCACGTGCGGGCGTCCCTCACCTTCCGCATCCCCCACCCCCTCCCTCACCCCCATCCCGTAGATGGACGTTCCCGTGGTTGTCAATGCGCGTGTTTGTCCGTGTGTGCGCGCAACTGCTCTCATACACCCACACGCGCAAACAAACTAACCCACACACTTACGCTCAAACAGGCGTTAAGTCGGGAGAGAGCGAGAGAAAGAAAGCAAAGAGAGTTGAGAGAGAGAGAGAGAGAGAGAGAGAGAGAGAGAGAGAGAGAGAGAGAGAGGAGGGGGCAGATCGCAAATGTGGGCGGAGGCTTCCCCAACTTGGGAGAGGACCGCCCGAGCGAGTCTGAAGGAGGGAGGAGTGGGGAGAGGGGAGGGGGAGGGCATGTCCCACGAGCATCCACACACAGGAGAGAGGGGAGGGGGAGCGCCGGAGGGAGGGACTTGGTGCTATATAAACTCCTGAGACTGTCAGTACCGCCATTTGATCTCACAAGCGCACGTGAGACACCTAGCAAAGAGACGGGAGACTCCCAAACAGTACGAGTAGCAACCACCCGACTCAGACATTATTATACTTTTGTGATCGCCACGACTTGAGAACAGAACGAGAACTATTTCATTGTCATCAAGTCGATCGTACTTTGGTCTCGCGGACTTTGGAGATACTACCTGAAACCCATATCATCGTCACACAACTCGAAGACAGAAATTTGCGGTGAGGAGACACCAGTGAACCTTTTAACTTTTGCCCGATTTCTTGAACTAACCTGGGGGATTTTCACAAACTTATTGACTGACTAAAATTCATTCTACTCAGAGTAAGACACACAAACAAACGAACATAACCCGATATTTGGTGTCAAGTAGCAAGAATCAGAAACACTACCCTCTTTCTATTAATTGTGAAAGAGATCTGTTTCTGTCTATCTCATCGTTTGACATTCCCCCTCAAGCCATGAAGTTTTTGCGTCATTATAGAATGTTCTAGAAACCCCACCGATCGCCCGAGTCTTTCACAGGCCTCCCCCTTGTAATACACGCTGCTCATTTCTGTCAGTCCGAGGACATCATGTCTTCAACTGTTCACTCACAAGTCGCCGAGGCAGGCTCGGCCTTCCCCCACCACACGTCTTTGTGTGACGTCACGGCCACCTGCTCATGCTCACTGTCGTCCAGAACAGCTTTACTGCCTTCAAGATGCTGCTCCGAATTTAAGTCATCGCAATCGTCATCATCATTCTTATCTTCGTCGGCGTCATCATCGCCACACAGAGACAGTATCTCCCCCCTCACCACGGTGCCATGCCTCCCCGACACACAAGACTCTCATGTCCCCTCCTCTCCCTCTCCATCTCCCTCCTCTTTTTCATCCTCACCATCCTCCTCGTCCATCTGCTTCTGGTCAAGATACCAGACGTGTGCAAAAGACACTGCTGGCTCCCCCCGGCCGTCCATCTCCGATATGTCTATGTATAGCCCCCGGTCCCTGCTGTCCCCTGTCAGGTGGGCAAGGTGTCCCCCTCTAAGCCTGGTCTCGGTACTGCTGGTGCTGTGTGTGTTTCTGTGTGGGCCAGCGTCCATCGAGGCTCGCAGTGTGGGCGTATGTCTGGGCGTACCCTGCGCTAATGGTGGGCAGCTCCTTGTCTCCAACTCGGTGTGGGGAGACTGCCGATGCCGTTGTCGGGCGGGGTTCGTTGGGCCCTTCTGTCAGTATCAGGCTGCCCACAAGAGAAGCGCTGCAACCTCCCAGCCCGTACAAGTAGGACGCCTTGAGGAGATGGTGGAGATCCATCAACGTCTTTTGGCACTTCAGAGACGGCTGGACGAGGACAGCCAGGACACCAGGCACGTGACCAGAGCCTTGACCAATGAAAGCGGAAGAATGACCGGAAGTGTGGGGGGAGAGGAGTCCAGTCTGGACTCGTTCAGCTCCGGACAGAATCGTCCACGAAGGTCCTGGGAACCAAGGCTGGAGTTTCGTCACCTGCTCAAACGGTGAGTCAAGAGGGTGTTTTGGGGGGAGGGAGGGGGCAGTTGTTGTTGTTGTTCTTCTTCTTCTTCTTTTTCTTCTTCTTCTTCTTCTTCTTCTTCTTCTTCTTCTTCTTCTTCTTCTTCTTCTTCTTCTTCTTCTTCTTCTTCTTCTTC